CTATGTCTACATTCATCTTTCATGAATATTTGGGTTACACACCAGTCGTGTCCCTATGTGAATTGATAATCATTAAAAAACCCTAAAATTTTGCAATTTAAACCCTCTAATACATAATTATTCAATTTAAAAAAAAAAAGAGGTTGGCAGCCTCTTTTAACCTTGCATTTGCCCGTCCACAGACAACAGATCTGTGCGTGAAACGAATCCAGCAATGCAAGGGGTGAGCTGGTACAGTACGAAGGTGAACTGTACTGATAAATTTTAGTGGCAGTGACCAGGATCCGAACCCACGACATCGCTGCCTTGGGCCCAACGTCCGTGATGCTACCAACTGAGCCACCGACTCACCAAATTCAATTTTAACCCAAAAAAGGATATCTCCTTACCTTGTACTTGAGATCCTCCTTGGCCAATGAGAAGTTCTTCAGCAAGGGGTCAGGAAGTCCGTTGTTGTCGTCGTATGAGTACGGGTGAGTTGAGAAATCCGTTCCACTCACTGGCACCCGGCACAAATTGTACTCAATGCCTTCGTCTGAGAAGTAGGATCTAGTCAAGCACAAAGTTAGTTAAAATCATACCGATGAAAATTATACTTACTTGCATGAAATATTTGTCAACAAAAAGGAAGGCATCTGATTTTTGGATCTAGTTAGTTTGTAAGATAAATAGTTACCAGAAATAGAATCAGCAGTCTTTTAAAGTTATTTTCGAGTGGTGTGCTCCAGTGTGATAGGTTTAAGTTTTGGTAGGCCTATGGGCACAGAGAAGCAATAAGGTACAAAGAATACATAAACTGGGGAAGACCATGTCCTTTCAGCCAAGATTTAAGTAATTCAACAAACAAAAAACTTGTCACAGCCTAGCCACTGAGGTTGCCACTTCATAGTAAGGGCGAAACGTCTGTCAACAGTTTATTAGTGACAACGCAGTTGATGCGGTTAAACATCCTGAACTTAATGACCCTGGCAACAAAAGCCTGCATAAGAAAAAAAACAAAAACTCATTATAATTAATGATTAATTTATTTACCACTTCAGGGCTGCAAATAGGTTAATTAATGAATACTGTAAATGATAGCAATTAATGATTGCAGAGGGCAAAAATATCCTACTTATTTAGAGCAATGAAAGTACCTATTGATAAAGTGAGTTATCATTAAATCACTAGACCAATCCCAATATTATGTTAAGGTACCTTTAATAGTGCACATTTACCTCAACAACATTTCCTGCATTTCTTTACCAAGGCTCAGAATGTTGATGCCAGCCGCGTCTGTGAAAGCTCCTCCAAAACCGACGATCTTCTGATATCTGACTGTGGTGTTGATGGTTAATAGCAAAGTATCTGAAGTACTTGAACCTGAGAATCAGTGACAGTTTTTAAGGGCACATAACAGTAAAATTTAAAGTATTAAGCTGGGTTTTCCTAGACGCGGAAGAGGAGCGTGGAGAGAGGAACCCGGAGAGCGGACTCCTCTTGTCTTAGGTAATTTAATGTTACTGTTTTCCTAGAAGCGGGGCGGAATGCCGTGTTGATCGCTTTTCTGCTCTCCGTCCTCCGCGCTCCCCGGCATTAGGGAGTTTCTGCCCGGCAGCCTGAATTTCAATTCATAATGACGGATTATGTGGATTGAAGTTATGGATTGAACATGCCTCTATTGTAAAGCTCTCAACATTCTAAAAATAATTTGTTTTCAATGATTGTGTACTTTTTGTGCTCTTCTTAACATATCAGAGCTTGAAATGGATGGGGAACAATTAATTTTTAACTATTATTTAGAAGTTAAAATCATATGTAAAAAAGACTAATTTAAGTTAGAGATTTTCAAAATGATGTTATCATTACTTAAAGAAACAATTACAAAGTTTCAGTTTATCCAGTGCATAGTTTGGATTGATCATTTGAATATTTTACATTTTATTTAAACTCGATAAACACTTTAATAATATGCCACGAGGTTCTTTTTTGTAGGACCATGTTTACACGGTAATCAGCCGGCAGTTGGAACCCGCTTAAGAGTATACCAATTTGTAACTCAGTACCGGTACTTGCTTGAATATTTATCAAATAATAAATAAACTAATCCCTCAATTGTTTTCACTAAATTTTTATCAAGATGAAAATTTTTAAATGCTATCTAAGAATACCCTTGAAAAGGGCTTCAGATTTTTCAAAATTAGAAATTTATCTGGATCCACTTTCATTGAGAGAACAACCAAAGATTTCCAAAGAACAAATTTTAGTACATCTTACCTAACAGCCACGAGAGAACTGAATTAGACGTAGCTCCAGGTTTTGTTTCATTTTGACTAAATTTGCCAATATTCTTCTGGAACCGAAGCCCATCTTTGCATGATACGAGTGTCATAAACTCATCTCGGCCTATGGTATTCTCCCTGGTGATGGTGTCGCAGTAAGTAGCGTTACAAACACACACCTTCCTTTCATCCCCATAGTCTCTCAGGGCACAAGGATGGGTGTATCCTAAAAATATGCATCATTACATATTTAAATTATAGAAAAACCTTGCTTCCACAACATCCACATCACAACATCAGAGGGAGCAACCATAAGTGTTATGAACAGCAATGCAAAAACAAGTATTTTAAACCCACTCTCCTCCTAACACTAGAACTAATCTTCCCCCCTGCCAATATCATATTTACTAAGTACTCCATTACAGAAGAAAACATGTTTAACCGTCTGAAACACATGAAAAATTATTGTGCATTAAAATGTTAGTGTGAAAACCTATTTATGGGCTTTTAAAGTTTGTAGAATTATTTCCAGCAGTATGATAAACACAATGTGTGGAAGAAACATAACTTCTTGGAAAAACTACGTACCTAGTTCTAAAGTTAATAATAGCTAAAACTAAACCGGTACATGGATATTGTTTTTAAATTTAAACTTACCTGATGTGCTTTTAGCTGTTAATGCTCCAAGGAGAAAAATAAGACATATCATGGCCATATCCTGAAAATTGTGATTTTTAAATTGGCTTACAAAGAGTTTGAAAAACAACTGAAGTTTTTTTGTTGTTTTTAATTGAAATTGAATGATTTAATTGGCTTAAAAGTTATTAGACGAGTAACAATATGAATTTACCCATTTATTTACTATTTTATCATTCTGAATACTGTATTCGATGTGTCCTTATTCTAAAACAACTTTGGCATTGAATACTTATCTAAAGCACAGAAAAACAAAAACTTTTACTCTTTAAAAATATAGTTTATTCATTTTATAAAAGAATGTTCTAACTCATCAGAATTATAATTTATCTGTCAAAAAATATTTTAATGTTAGTTTTAGTAATTTAGTCTATTTTTATGGTCAAAATTAAACAAATGCCTTCAAAGGCCGGTTACGATATTACAATGCTTTAATGATTTATTAAAACACATACAAAACAATTACTGTTAGTAAAATCATAGGAGGTTAGGTTAGCTGTGATATACTTTTTGGGTCACTCACTGGACTCACTGTGACTGTGCAGTGTGCAATGATAAAACTTAAAACTTGTTCTCCCACTGACACTGACCAATCAGCTCTCCAGCTGACCAACAATCAGCTGATTCAATATTGTCAATTAAAACGTGATTTTCAACGTCAATTATTAATTGTTTAAATTGTGCTGCTATTGTTGGTTTCAAATTTATACAACTCCTTTAGTGAGAGAACTAAAAAAATAATAAACTTCATTATTGTTTATTTTGGTAAAGCGGATTACAGATATATAATTATGTTTTAGAAACTTATTATAAAAATGTGTACTGTAACTGTACCAAAGCTTTACAACACATAATTCCTGTTTCATTGTATGTCCTATATCCACTTTTATCTTAGGTACTATTTTTTTCAAATTGTCAATCATTTGGAAATAATATTATGGGGCTAGTTTTCAAAATCTTAAGATTCAAAGGGAGAAGGATGGGAGATCAACTCAATTAAAATCAAGTCACCAATACAATATCAATGGTACAGTACAACATTAGAATGGGGGACTGGCATGTAACTCACCTCATGACCGGAAGACGTTATAGACTAATGTATATTAAAATACTCCCACTTTTCCGGTCAAGACTACAATTAATACAATATACTCAGTTCACGAAATTTAGGTGGTCTTGTCTTAGGGGAAGAAATTTATCTCCTGCCACTTTTGAGCCTATAAATAAAATAACAGCTGAGTTTTTTTTTTGTCAAAACGGCAATGAGCTGCAACATATAAGAAAAAAATAGTAGTAAAACACCTAAATTTTGAGAACGGAGTAATATAATTGACTATTGGATACTGAATTAAATGGTCAAAGCCTTAGTACAAAATCAATCACGGAATCAAATCATCATCGATACAATAGACTATAACCAACTGCCAAATTTATACTTTAATCTGAAATAGCTAGCCAACCATACGAATGTAGGTACTTTAAGCCAAGTATGAATAAAGATGTAGGATGAGTGGCGTGATCTTGTAGTCTTGTTAGTGACTAAGGCCGACATGTTCTAGTTCTTTTATCTATGTTTTCTCTAGACAACGTTATTTGTTTTATCTATGATACTACCCTAGGAAATAAATAAGATAAATATACAAAATATATTTTCTTTGGAATAGACACAAGTTTTCTCCGAAGCAAAGCTCAACCATAAACTAACCGAGTATGTTTAATCTATGGCTCAAATAACAATTAATTTCACAATTGGTTAAACAATAATGATAGTTAATGGAATTAAAATCAATAGTTGAAAGTTTTTACCCATCTAGTATAGCTGATTATTGCACCAATGATCATAGCAATGGCCAATGAGAATCGCACATTTTATTGTATCACTTTAGTGACGTTAGTAAACTGCGCTAGACTCACCGTACCTTTGATCAAAAGTCTAGACACTGTGGGCAGACGGAAATGCCCACATCAGCTGATCTAACCTCCACCAATCACACTTACTTTGCAGTTTATTCTTTTTCTTTACTGTATTCTGCTATACGTAATTTTGGATATTGTTACTTGTTCTTGTTGTCAAAAATGGGTGATAATTTAGTTGAAGAAGTTGCTAAAATTAACATTGAAGATGAAAAGGCATGAACTATTTATTACTAGCTATAAGTGTTTAATTATAAGATGATATATTCAATTAATCGACTTGGTAGAACTTCTATACTTAGACTGTCCAGGAGATACGCCACGGTTCGTAGGTTAGGTTTCTATTGCGTAGCCTAGTATGTGTGGCACATGCCGACACGTTGTGCATGCTTTTGCTAAATGTAATTTTATTTTATAGACTAAAGTTCGCCCTTTTAAATATCTGAATGAATGCTATTTAGATGTTAAAGAATCTTGGAAACGTTAGGTTCAGTATCATCTTCAACAACAAAAATGAGCCAATGCCCTGTTAACAAAACAATTTCAATCAATGATGCAACTGAATTTTTTTCTGATATATACCTATGCCACATTCATAGACAAAATCGAAACTTGTGCCTTACTGCCTTATTAGGTTCAATATCAGTTTCCATTAACTTATATTTTTCAAGCTGCGACTGGCAGAAGTTTTACCTATGTTTTATTATCAAAATGCTTGTTTTAGGCTAAGTAATTGATTTTTCTTGATTACTCGCTCCTCACAATATTTGGATACATTTAAGGTACTAAAGTTAGTAGAACTCGGCTGCACTTTACTCACGAATACTAGAAAAATACCGGTATCGATCATAAACATAAACAAATGACGTTGGCCCGAATCCTATAGGCCTACTAATAGCATTGAACATATGTTTTAACGGTTCCATTTAAGCAATGTTAAATAGTGTTTATCTTCGGGCCAAAAACGTCATTTGTTTATGTTTATGATCCATACCGGTATTTTTCTAGTAATCGTGACTTTACTTTAGGTCCTACACTAATTCGAATGAATAAGTAAAGGGCAGCCTAGAACTAACTCCACTTAGCTTAACTTATCTGAACACAAATTAGATTTCACGGGACCTGACACACTGTAAGCTCATTTTAAGGGGAAGATTAGGAAACCAAGTGAATCCCTATTAAGTATCTAACTTAAATATCTCATGTTATATAAATGGAAAAATAATAATGAGTTAGCATTTAAACTCAAATTGCAAGTGAAGTGGCGTAAACTATGTCCATGTCCTTATGGTATTTTAGCATCATCTCATCAACCAATTACTCCCAATAAGCTTAAGTTTTATGCATACCATTAAGTACCTAAATTTGACTTTTGAGTCGCTGGTACACTTGCACCTTAGTCCTGACAGTTGCCACTAAACTGTGGGCTCATCATTTTGTTTGTATGACTCAATCTAAGTTCTAAGTTCTCAATCAGTAAGAATTTATAAATTAGTAAATATGAGACAGGTCAGTGAATTACGCCGACACAGTATTCCTGTAGGCTACTTAAGAGGATTCAGTTCTTGAATGTATTGGTTTTGTGTTGCAGCGCTCTGTGTAACCATCCATTTTGAACATAGATATGACAGAAATCAGTTTGGACAAGTTAAACAAATACTTATCTGAAAATAGTTATATATCTGGATACCAGGCTAGCCAAAACGACAATATTGTTGTTGATTACTTACTGAATCAAGATTTCAAAAATCATACTCATATTTCTCGCTGGTATAATCATATAACCAGTTTCGGCTCGAACCGTAAGTCGTTCCCAGAGATTACAGACGTCAAACCAACGTTTGACTTGAGCTGTATCAAAGGATCTACGTCTGAGGTGAAGTTCATTGATAGTTAAAGCATGCAGTGGCTTCTTGTGATCGCACATCTCTATGTCTGATGAGTTTTTTTGTTGTTGTTGTAGGGTAGTTTGAAGACTACTGTAATTTAGGTAAAAATTCAGCTTAATCTATCCATTTATCAATTTTAAACAGCAATCAGGAAAATTTATTGATCTATTAATTAGGCTAAATCCAAATGTGAATCAGTTTAACAAATGTACTTGTTTAATCTAACTTTTAAGCTGCAGTAGTGCTTATAGAGATCATATTGTCAGGTCACTCAAAGATCTTGTGGGTTAGAAAATTGCGAACTAACGCTATATTATCAATAACCATTTTAAGTTTAGAATTTGCCAGTCGGTTTCTTCAAATGGTAGCGTATGGAATTTTTGGACCATGAAAAATATTCATAATCAAGCTGCTTGGTCTGTGGTACCCCTTGATCAAGTTCTGTGTACCTGTACTCCTGTTTTAGTAGCTGGCGCTCCTGTCTGGGAGCTCAATGTCCAACTAACTAGGGCCTTAAGAATCAGTTGAGGATTTTGTGATATTAGCTCTACCAGAACAAAAGAAACATTATTAAAATACTTTTTCCTAACTTTTCACTTTTTTTCTTGGTGTTGACACCAGCAGCATTTTTACTTGTTCAAAGAGTTACACAAGAGAAGCACTTAAATGCTTTTAGGGAAGCAGTCCGAACCCGTGTGTTGTGAATGTGATAGGAATTGAACCCATCCATCCCGCACCGAAGTCCGAGATGCTAACCACTAGGCTAGCAACTTTCTTAACTACCTATCTCTCTCAGCTAGAGGTTTCCAAAATAAATATTGCAAACAACCACACTCGAATAAAATTGAATTTTTATCACTAGATTATAGATCTCTTTCAGGGCAGTAGCAGTCTTTCCAGGGTCAAAATAACTGGTACCGTGAACCAATCTTCAAGATTGATTGAATAAACCAATAAACCTTTATGTTCTCTGCAAAATTGCTTTTGTTTTGAAGCAGGTAGATGCAACACTTTGTCCCTCGTCCTGTTCCTGCAGATGGCATACTCCCCCAATTCTAAATTAATTGCAACAACATGTCCATGTGAAAAACCGCATGTAGCAAACAAATTGATGCAATGATTGAGTGAGAGATCTTAAAATACACTTCATCATGAAATGAACACTCCTCATGTAACCACTGCAGTATTAAAACTTGCAACTTTGGTGACTGATTTTTCAGAGCCTTTTTCTTGGCTTACTGTCTAGGGCACTGTCTAAGAACATTCTAACAATGAATACAAAAACGGGATACATTTTCTTAAAGGTTTGAATGTGGATTAACCCAGACCGCTTAAGTAAATGGGCCCAGTGCTACAAGAAGTTTTAGGTTTGTTGGGAGCGCAAGGAAGAGAAAAATTCCCCCGCAAGAAAAGGGGGGGGGGTGCAAATATCTCTCAGGCCCATTGCACGTCAAATGCAGACCGCTGGGCTGTAGGAAACCAAAACTTCCCCTAAGATGGTTACCAATAACTAAATTGAGTTAAGACTAAATTTAAATTTTTTGTGGTGATGAAATATGAGAAAACACAACTATTCAAAGCTAAGTCATAGATCAAGCCACTTGGAATTTGTTAATAGTGTAGATAGTTGGTCTAAATTAAATGAGTAGGCTACAGTAAAAAATTGGGTAGTATGTTTTAAATTGTGTATGGGGCTTAAATGATAACATCTCAAACCTTAAAATCACACTAACATGTTTTCATTCTCTCATAATATATTATAGATTTATGAGACAATTTAATATCGTGTAACTTTATTAGAAAAGCTTTGATAACTTTCCCAAGACAATTGTAGCTTTGTTTAAAAAAATTCTTTATCGTCTATAGTTAATACCATTAGCGATAAAATGATATAATTACCGGTACCTAAAAATAAATTTTTAGCAAACTAAGTACAGTACGTTCATTAGAAACTGAGGTCTAAATTTATACAGTAAAACTTGACTAATAACTTACAGTGACGTTTAGAACCTTAAACACAGTACATGGAATGATCAGTAACCTAAGCCATAAAAATAAATACAACATTCTGTTTGTTTTGGTGATAATGTACTTATTTAGGGACCAAACGTTGACCTTTTATCTAAATGCAAAGAGACATTTACTTTCAAGATAACACTCAGTCAACTCTATCAGTATTCTCACTACTGCGGGACATTTTCCTTCAGAAGTTCCTAGTGCGGAGTTTAATTTTAAAACAGTTTTAAAATAGAATCGTCCATTATGTTTGAGGAAAGTGATAGGATTAATTCGGTTCTAAATCATCTCAGTGAATTGTCCGCGGAACAGAAGAAAGTGACCGATGTTGTTACATACAATAAAAGAAAAATTGACGATATTTTTTCTATGATGCACAACAAGTCTTTACAAATCAACGTTTGTATGAAGGAAGTCAAGGAAATGAAGGCGACCTGCAATAAATTGAGGAAAGAAATGGGAGAATTGAAGTTTCAAGTGTTTGATTGTCGGAAAGCTATTAAAGCGAGCGAAGCACTTCCTCATGCACCAGTTGTGGCGAAACAGAATAAAAAAGTTCACTGGGCTGACGAACATGCGATACATCAATCTTATCTACCTTCGCTAGTGCATAGAACATACTTTAATGTTAACCACGAAAGTTATACGGTAAATAACTAATTGGGTGACAACAGGCAGTTATAAGTTGTACTATTTTCTAAACTTTGTATTACTGTATAGAGCATCAGTTAATCAATCTATGAAAAAGCTTATCATAATTTATAGCTGTCTAGTATTTAGATAATAGTGTTCAAGTTTTTTTCTTCTCTGTGTTGCATGATGGTCACCAAAGAAAATACAATCTATAAATAAATAGGCCTAATCGTGTAAAATTTTTTTTAAAATAATGCTACTTGAAACAAATGACTATCATAAAATCATAATTTGTTATCAGTTGCATAACTTAAGATTGAGATAGAGTAGTGGTTTAGTGCACTATAGTTTGCTGGTTTCGTTGATCAGTTTTTCTGCTTAGCTCACTGGTTTTTGTTTTGAAATGTCTGCATTCTTTGGTTCTGTCTGTTTTGCTATGGTGTTTTGTTTGTTGGTCGGATTGCATGTTTGCATTCCAATAGTTCGTACCAAAGAAGAACATAGACAGGTTGTTGCTGGTGGTAGGCTATGATTTTTATTTTGTTAGTTTAGCATGAATTACTAGTTTAAATTTTAACTGTCATTTAAAAATATTTTTGACCGTACTGACTTTAAATTATAATGCCAGTTGTAGTAGTTAGTGAGTGGCTACCTAGTAATATTTCACACATCTTTAAGTAAGTTACTAAAAAATAATATTGGTTATTATAACTGTTACTGTATTATAACTTTATGAATAGTAAGTTTGAAGAAATTGTATTTTGTCACCCTTTTTAGCTATCAATTTAATTATGATCGTAGTAAATTATTTGTAGCCTACTTGTAAAGTTTAAGAATGCTGTCCGTTTTTAATAGGCCTAATTAGCTTTAGATATTAAGTACCGGTACCTTTTACTTTTCACAATGGAAAATTCAGACTATTTGTCTTCATCTGATCCAAATTCTTTAGATTCAAATTTCCAATCAAATTTAAACTTGCTTTTTAAGTTAGTGGGTTCACTTATCAAATATTGGGTTGCTATATTTCTCATTAGGAACAGCAATAACTTAACGGTGTTATAGTTTATAAATTCCATCAATAATGAAGATTTTTTGCTTTTCAGCTAAGAAAAATGAAAGAAAAGAAAGCAAAAGAAAAAAGCGGCGGTGGACCTGAAAAAACTACTGCTTCCGAGCTCAACCCATGGCCTTCATATATTCAGGTAGGACAGTCATAGTGAATACTTTATTCTAATGTCTGTAAATGAAAAAAATTTCAATAAGATGAAAAGCAAAGTAGAGAAATAAGGATAAAAATAAACGGTAGGCCTATCAGCAATCTGACACATACATTCTCCCATTAGCTTGTCAAGTCTTATCATGGGTAAGCAGTGGTAGAAAATAATTTTTATTGGAACCATTTTAAAAGCTGCAGTACATTTTGAACCGTAATTTTTACAGCAATTATGGATGTAAAATTTTGTTTAGGCTTAAAAATTTAAAAATTTTAAAAATAGGCTAAGTTACTAAATTTAAAAATTAAAACTGGTTGAGCTGTTTTTTTTTGGGAATCATATTTTTTTCTTTTTTATGGGCATAAAGAGTTTAAAGGGTTATACCATTTAATTTAAAATATAATTTTAATGCCTAGAAAAGGCCAGTTTAACCAACCAGTTTTGAAATTCAGGGTAGATAGTCTGCCTTAATTTTTGTTTATGGCCAGATGCGGCTTAATGGGGATTGAGCTGGTCTAGTGGTAGTGTGTGGGACTTCGGTCCCTGAGGTTCAAATCCCGCCAATAAAAAATAAAGATTATCCAAGTGATAATACCCTCTAGGCATAGCCTGATTCAATGCGTAAAACCATGCTTTAGCTCGGTGTAGCATAGGATGTGAAGGTGAAACATAAAAATAAAATGCAAATAGAAGTAAGATAAGGTCTCTACTAAATATTTATTACAGGAGAGAATTGCTATGTGGGACAAGCTGAAAGCACAGTACGATGCTGAGATAGCAGCCAAAGTTCCGGAAAATATCACCGTAACACTGCCTGATGGTAAACAAGTGTCGGCTCAGTCCTGGAGGACGACTCCCTACGATGTGGCCAAGGGCATCAGGTAAGCATATTGAAAAATTACCTGGAGTCTGGACAAAATAAAAATTACTATGCTGAGTAGCTCTGTAAGGTTGATCACAAAATAAAAGAAAACGAGTTAAAGAGAGAACATTTTAATCTAATACCTTCCCAACACTAAACAAAATATCACAACAAAAACATAAACCATATGTTTCACCAATTAAACAGAGTATTATTTATCATGTGATCCACTAGACTTCTTCTTATTCAGAGAAAGCCTCTCTGGTGTAGTTCTGTGTGCTTTCGTTTTAAAAGTCCACCAACCACATCGTGCTAGAATAGCTCATGAGTTCTTGATTTTGAAACAAATGAGTCAAAATATGTTTGTGTAACACTGTTCAGTATGCACCGTACAAATAATAATGATGATGTTATTGTGATTTCTTTCATTATTATTATTATTATTATTAATCATTAAGATGGGGACGCCACTTAGGTGCGTATTTTAACCCAAATATTGTTTAGTATAGTACTGAAATTACTAATTCAGCATTACTAATGGTTTCAAAACATAACCATTTATTTTTGCATTACCTCATTGGTATATGCAAACCAAAACCGAAACTTAAAAATAAAATCTTGAATCTTGAAACCCCAACCCTAAAACATTTTTAGTTTCCAAGTCAAAGTTACACTAGCATCAGTTGAAGAGTTGTCTGTAATTGACTTTGTGTTGTGCAGCCAAGGCCTAGCAGACAACACAGTTATATCCAAAGTGAACGGAGAATTGTGGGACATTGACCGTCCTCTGGAAGCAAGCTGCAAACTGGAATTGCTTAAGTTCGACAATCCTGAAGGTAAATATGAACTAATGTGTGGTTTATAAATACTCTTCATGGTATGATTATAAAGGTTCATGGTATTGGGTTCAATTTTGTTTGAACTTTGTTGAAACAATCTTGATCCCAACTTTGATACCATGAACCTCTGTTGTGGTTTGGTCACAAAGAAAAATAAAATTGATGACAAATCCAAAATTTAGCATTTCCTCTCATTTACATGACAGTTTTATAAAACTAGTGATCTGTTGTTACGGAACTTCAATCCCAAAGCCACTGAACATTTGGGGACGTTTTGATTTTGAGATGGCACAAAAAAAATAATATTGGAGAGTCCTATGTTTAGGTCTAGTAACAACAAAAATGTAAACACACACACAAATCAGCTCATTGGTTGTCAACGGTGGTCGGTAAATTTAACATTGTTGGCTCCAAAGTCTGCCTGCAAACGACGAACCTCACACTAAACATCTTGGTTCTTCGCTGTAAATGTACATTTAACTGTAATACAATTTTTAATTATTTTAATTTTGTTGTGATCAAGATTAATCCACACCCTGGTTAATCCACTTGTGGATAAAGGAGAGTCTACTGTAGGCTATGAGGTCTGTACCTAACTAGATTGCTATCACGATACAATACTGAATATTTTGATAAATGTTTGTTCACCTGTCTTAACAGATGTCTTTAATCAGTCTTACAACTCTACGCAGATCATCTGTTACTTACTAATCATCATACTTGTGTTGATGATAGTATCTTACATTTCAGTGATACAATTTTAATGGAGAATCAACAAAAAAGTATTTTTTAATGAGTGTTCAAAAATAATCTGATTATATAAAAAAAAAGTGTACAGTCCCGAATAACTGGTCTTTGGTAATCCGACTTTCCATGCCATTCGACCGTCTCTGCGGACAATCGAGTACTGTAGAATCGTGTGTTATATCTGTGTGATGTGATTTTACACTGTACCGTATCGGGTACTTTGATAAACCCTTTTCTCAGTTATGGCTGTACCTGAAAGATGATAACAGTTGTTGCTCATTATTTTCCGTATTATCCAACCTATTCCCTTTTTTACCTTATTTAACCTTTCCATGACTGGTTTAGGTCAGGTTAGTTAACTCCCTACCACTAAAAAAATCTATTTACCCAAATTTTCATAATTGTCGAATTTGCTCCCAAAAGGGATAATTTGCTATACTAACTACACGTGTTGGTACCACTGTTACAGCTGAGCAGGTTTTCTGGCACTCCAGCGCTCACATTCTAGGCGAGGCCATGGAGAGAGTGTACGGAGGCTGTCTGTGCTACGGACCTCCTATTGATTCTGGCTTCTACTATGACATGCATATTGCAGACAGACAGGTAACCCGATGACAACAATTATTTTTGCCACACTCCTCTGTTTTAATGGACCTACTCAAGGGTTTGGTCTGAAAACAGCTGTTTGCCGTCCAAATGAGATTTAATTGTACTAATGTTCGGTAATTGATTTTACCGGACACAGTTTATTGTAATTAGCCTATTTCTAGTTAAATACCTCAGGTATTTTTTAAAACATAAATAGATACTAATAATGGGGGCCTAGTTAAGTTTAAAAATCGTAACAAATTAATTTTATTTTTGTACAGAAATGTCTGTTCATAACAGCCTCAAAACTCTTAACCTAAAATACAAAACTTATCTGCTAACGTAAAAAATACACTCTTGTACGCATGATTGTTAATGAACTTACTATTTGTGTTTATACAATTTTCCTCGCTCATTAATTTGATTTATTTCACACTTAGCTTAACTCCAGAAAAAAAAGTTAGTAACAAAATACAGCCCGTATTTCCTCTATCTTAAAATGAGAGGGCTGGATGAAAATCAATTTCTCCGTAAAAATGATGTAGGCCTAATTGTTAGTGTATGTAGTCAGTTAAATTTAGTAGTTTTTTAAATGGCAAAGACCAGTAAGATCTTGCTTAAAAAACTTACTGCCCAATGCTCAGTGACATACATGCAATTGATTTTCAGGTATCAAACGCAGATTTTCCGGTGATGGAGGGTATAGTTAAGAATATCGTCAAGGAGAAACAACCTTTTGAAAGGCTGGAACTGAAAAAAGAAGACCTGCTGGAATTGTTCAAGGTAAATTAACAACCCATTGTGAATCATTATTACAGTAACTATCAAACAAAGGCAACTTGTGATATGTGTGATATTTTGGACACCTTTAATTATGGAACTCAACTCCATTCTGGCATTCAGAGAGCTTTTTGGGATGACACAGCTTGTCCAATCCATCACAGGTTAACAAAAATGAGACGTTTTAAAACCACATGTTTTTGCGCAAAATTTGTAATTTACATAGTAAACCATAGAAGAATACAGCAATAACACATCTAGGTAGTGAACAGAGTTGTACAAACAGGTTTAGTTATTTACTGGTTATAGAAATAGCATCACTAATTTGCTAGTCTGTAGGTCATATGCAGGTAACGATTTTGAACCATCCAATTCGCAAACAAATGAATTTGAACTTGAGGGATTCTATTAAATTAAGATTGTAATTCAGTAAGCCTTAAAACATATTTTTCGGCTATAAAATATTTTCTTACATCTAACCATAACCCCATAAAAAATTAAACATAATTTTAAGATTTGTAGAAGACTTACCAAAAATAGTCTCATCATACCAGTGAGCTTAAATTATTCATGGCAGCACTTAAAAATGTCATGTCGTGAATTTTTATTAGGTTGGTTGTTAAAGCGGGTTGTTGGTTTTACCGTCATTGTGCAATCATTTTGCCAAACGCTAGTTGGTTTGTAGCACATTAAGGGTTTATCAGATGTTTGTTTACTATACTATTACTTAGTAATGCTGCAATGTGAAACCCATTAGCAGTCCCAAACTCACTATTAAAAATTATTTATAGACCTAATTTGTGAGTATAGCCTTGATTTGTTACCTTGAATTTTAAACAATACAAGTGTGAATTGTATGGATACGATATCATTAGGTGTTGTCTAACATAATCTTGCTTTAAAATATACTGGCCCCTGCATTAAGGACAAGTTTAGTCAGGCCTACAATTTCAAACATGTACTACCTGTTCATATGTAGACAGAAAAATGCTATTTAAATAAGTGATTTTATGGGACAAAACCGACAACTGATCAAAAAAATCCGAACCAAAACTGAACGGATAAAACTAGCAACCCATCACTATATTTTGTAGACGGACTGTAGCGAATAAAAAAAAATATCAGAGTTGAATGATTCATTCACAGTTTTTGCCACAGTATAAAATTATATTTTCTCAGTTTCAGTTACTGTAATAGGCCTAATTAATTAATAATTAATTAATACAGCATAAGAGATTTGTTAGCATTTAAACATCTGCGTGTTTGACAGAAACCAGTTATTTACAGCATTGCACTCTGTCGGCCACTTAAACAAACTACATAAGTTTTATTGTAAGAATTGGAACAACTTTAAACTTAGGAATTCAATGTAGGTATAGTTTTAACCATAGTCGGAGATGACAACTACTTGTTACACATAAGTTGATTATTTTCTGTGACGTTTCAGTACAATGAGTTCAAGCAGAGGATCTTGAAGGAGAAAGTAAAGACGCCGACGACTACTGTGTACCGATGTGGCTCTCTAATAGACCTGTGCCGAGGACCACACATCAAGCACACTGGCAAAGTCAAGGCTTTTAAAGTCACCAAGGTAAGGGCTGCAGGGCAATATAGATTTATTCATTAGGGATTTGTTGTGAATTACCTCACAGTTTTGTAATTAATAGCTAACATGATAATTTAAATCAACTAATATTTTATAGTTTCTCATAGCAGATGTTTACAGAACTCCGCCACATATTGGGAGGGGAAGTCGGACGCAGAGTCGCTTCAAAGAGTCTACGGAATCGCCTTCCCCGACAACAAACAGATGAAGGAGTGGGAGAAGTTCCAGGAAGAAGCGGCCAAACGGGATCATCGCAAGATCGGCAGGGTGAGTCACACACTAGAAACCATTCTTATATTGTGCACCTTATTCTCATACAGTTTAATTCATGTTACGAAATACAACTTTTAGTTTCAAGCTTTGATATAGATCACATTGAATTTCAAGCTCACATTGCGTTGTATGGGGTATATTATAGGCTGAAACCTTTAACTATTAATAGTAGTAGACATTCTATTATCATGTTAAAGCTGTTGTCAGTTTTAGACAACAATTTTAATATGTTTCGAACCTAATGCTTGGTCAAATTGAAAGAACTTGTTGTCGTTTTTAGGACTGGTCAGTTAGTAAAATCTCTATTATTTACTATGTTTTCAGTAAAATGTAGCCAATAATTTTGATTATCCTTTTTTGTTTTCAATATCTGGCACAGAATGTAACGCATGTTCAGAGTTAAAGAGCAACGTACGATTGATGGATGAAATATAACCGCTAACCAGACAATTGAGAATATGAGTTTTTTTTCTGATTCTTTAGGAACAAGAGCTGTACTTCTTCCACGAGCTGAGCCCCGGCTCGTGTTTCTTCCAGCCGCGCGGCGCGCACATCTACAACAAGCTGATAGACTTTATCCGTTCCGAGTACCGCAAGCGAGGCTTCCAGGAGGTGGTGACGCCCAACATATACAACGCCAAGCTGTGGCAGACGTCGGGTCACTGGGAACATTACGCGGTTAGTAGACCTAGCATAGTGGTGTTGTAGTTGGAAAGTGATAGGTTAAGTGATGAGGGTTATGTTTTAGCATATTTTAAAGCCTTGACTTTTTTTAATTTTATGTGATTGCAATTTTTGAATAATTAAGGACATTACAATTTTAAGAGATCCAAGATGATAACTGCTAGCTTAGAAACACACACGAACAAACGACAGAAAAAAAGCCATGTAGCTTATAAATGAGGTAATAAATCTCATTGTATTTCTCTTTTGTTTTCAGGACAACATGTTCTCTTTTGATGTTGAGAAGGAAATGTTTGCTTTGAAACCAATGAACTGCCCTGGACACTGGTAAGTAATTGAACCTTGAATATGTTAACAGGTAATTGTGTATGAAAAAATCCTAAACATGACAGTCATTAGTTAATAATAAAAAAAAATCAAGAATGATAAGACTATGTATAATAAACATGAAATTATTGACCGCTAAAAAAAATATTATTCAGATTGTTTAGCAACAAATGTTTTCATGGTTTTCTAAATCACCAATCTTGTATTTCTGACTCGCAGTTTGGTGTTTGACCATCGGCCCAGATCATGGAGAGAGCTGCCTCTGAGAATGGCAGACTTTGGTGTGTTGCATCGTAATGAGCTGTCAGGAGCTCTCACAGGATTGACCAGGGTGAGGAGGTTCCAGCAAGACGACGCTCACATCTTCTGTGCTGTCAGTCAGGTAAAGCAAAACTAGAATATCACACAGCATTAGGTGTGCCGAGCATAGCCTTAAAGCCTGAGAGATCGAGCACCAATTAAGAAAATCAAGCTAGAGCCAAGCTTTACAATCGCAATGTCATTTGGACTGTAAAACGTGATGATAACGTTTCCGTGGTCGCTGGAGACGATGATGATCTACACAACCATTGGAGATGTTCAGGATTTTGCTATTTTGTAACCGTAAGAGATATTGATTAATGGCATCATGACAACAAGACATGTTGGCAGCAGCCCCGCGAACATGGGACATGGGGACAATGGTGTTGTGAACGTGGTCCATGTTGATTATAGCACAGTACTAGAGACATGCTGGCCGCAGCCCTGCGATTGTGCGACATGCTGTTGATGGCGCTGAGAACATAAGACGACAAAACATTCCAATAAAATATTTACACTTGTATGAACCAACCTTTATGCTCATTCCTTGATAAGCTCACAAAAATTATCCCTACATCATGCCATTTTATTGCATTTAGAAAAGGAGATTTGTGACAAATTGAAATTAACTTGGCATACGTAACATAAAAAAGCTCAGCTAAAAAAAGGTAGAATGAGGCTCGAGCTTTTTCCTGAAAGGTTTGTTCGATTGATAATCTCTTGCTGGCACTCACAATAGCCTATGAACTAATTTTAACCAAGATTTATAATCCAATATTTTATTGATTTCCATTGCAGATCAAGGCTGAGATCACCGGAGCCTTGGACTTTTTGAGGCATGTCTACGGAGTGTTTGGCTTCACCTTCCAGCTGTGTTTGTCCACAAGACCAGACAAGTTTCTGGGCGACATTTCCGTCTGGGACCACGCCGAGAAGGTAGGCCTAACTGAAAAGACTATGTGGATTTTGCTGATTTAAAAAAATGGGGAAACTAATATTTTTTCCTGTTTGATGATTGAAAAACAGACATCATTTGTGTTCGGAGGCTAGGGTTAGGGCGGCTGCAGGGGTTAGGGTGCAGGGTTACTGGTAGGGCAGTGTTGGGTACAAGGGCTACAGGGTAGGGCAGTGTAGGACACGTAGGTTTATTGTAGGGAAGATGGAGTGATGAGTGTTTAGCTGCTCGTTGGTATATGTTATATTTTTTATTATTTTATGTTGGGGTGTAGGGGCTACAGGGTAGGGTAATTTGAAGCCCCAGTAGCCTCTGCACCGTATCTAGCAGGGTAGGTTAGGGTAGCGTAGGGTACTGGAGCAGGGATGGTGTGCAGGGTAGGATAGCGTAGGGTTGCAGCAACGTAGGTTACTAAGGCGGCTGGGTAAGACAATGATAGTAACCACTGTCTTATCACTGTCTCAGTGTCTTTACAGTCTCAGCCTTTACAGTCTCAGCCTTTACATTTTCAACTAGTTTTATCACTTTTGTTCCATTTTAATTATTTGATCAACGTGACAAGTTTTGATTATTGTGACTTTGACAGTATTTTAAAGAATCTTTTGACATACGGTACCACATTGCATTAATATATGATATGGTTGCATACAATGACCATTCAAAGTTCTAAGGAACGAAACTAGTTATCATACTAACAACTGTGGTTGGATAGGGTAATCCTTTTATTTTATGAATAATATATTCCATTTTCAACCAAGAGTCGCAATGAATAATAAATATGCTTGTAAGTAAACAATGCTTTTAAGTGAATCTTTTCAATTCTAAGAACTGAACTGAAACGGCTACTTTAAAAAAACGGTTTTAGGTAAAATTTGTTTCATCATTAAGTTTAACTAACAGCTGCAAACTTTCAGCTTGACTCCAACCCGGCATTTAAATAAAGATGACATGTAAAGTTGATTAATATTTACCAAGCGTAGTTGGTCTATAATGTTCCAACGAGGTGGAATATTTCATATAATATTTCTCATATACCGGTATAGAGATTTGAGCACATCAATAAAACAGAAAATAGTGGTTTAGTTTTTAGCTGAGAACAATAAATTTAAATATATGATTTAATTTTAGCAAATGAATCATGTTTTTAAATTTTTTTATTGATTGGATATTGAGTATTGAGGACATGTGAACACTTATTATTTTTTTTCAAATAATACAATTTATTGTTTAACTAATCATCATTAGATAAACATAATTGTCATTGATCCTATAAAATAGCCTGAACACCCTTCTCGTGTGCTACCCAAATTAACAGGGTGTGGTTGTAATAAAATTAGCTGTTTGAATAAAAAAACAGGGTGATTTTGATGCATTTCCCTAATTATTTCAACAGGATATCACAAGCAACACCATTTGATTCTGATGCTATAGTAGAACTGTATATGTGTAAAAAGTGTTTATACATTTTAATGGTATTATTGTGAACTTTAAAAACAGAAATTGTGTTTATTCACAAATTATCGTGTTTGGCAACATGAATCCTTCGTTTCCACCAGAACAAGAGCAGCAAGAGTCTACCTACAAGTTAGAATTGGTTGAAATGCAAATGAGATTGAACAAGGTGGAAGAGTTTTTAAAGTGCATGGGATCCAGTGATCGTACCAACTCAGGTAATGTTCGCTCTCCAGATACGATTGACAGGTCAGTAAATACCAACATCACACGTCAATCTGATATTGAAGAAATACACAACAGGTTCCATTTGGATGAAGACCATTTTCCACATTCTTACTTCAGAAACATGACAAAGTCTATAAGCTTGCCTGGGTTTCAGTTTCTTGGGGAAAGAAACCAACCTCGATTTCACACCTATTTGTGGGTATTCATCCAAATGTTGGCATTATTGCTGAGTTTGTTTTTCATCAAGAAAGAGTATGACAGCTGGCAAAGTACACCTGTTATTAGATATATCTCCAATAACTTAACTTTGGCCAGTGAAATCCCATTCCCAGCTATAACAATATGTTACCCGCTTGACCCCATCATCAGATCAGATTTTGCTGGAGTAATAAATAAGTGCTGGAAATGCAACTCCAATTCCGCGGATGATGGCCATGATAGTGTTGCTCAAGAACAAGGTTATTACGACAATTATTGTTTCAATGAAGACTGTACTCATGAAGATCAAGCCTCCTTAGGCTTAATCCATCTTCTTTGTTCACATCTATTGCCTCCTCTTTTACAGTTCTCTGAGGTTTTTCATGAAAAGATTCCAGAAACCATCAATTTCGTAGAGTTCCCAAACTATGCATTTAAAGCTATTACTTCACAGTATGATATCCATTTATCGAAAGAGTTAATAGAATATGAAGGTGGACTCGTGACAATGTATGAATCTGGCTGTTCTAATAACCAATGCCAATATTCCTTGACAAATCAGAGTGTTTGTATAACTGTGAATGGCTTGCATCATGAAGACATTTACAAAAAAAGTGCAATACCTATTTTATCAACAAAACATGGCTCAACCTTTAATATAGAGAAAAACTACACTGGTGAAAGTTTGAACTTGGATAATGCGCTCTATTCTGGTGGGAATCTACATACCATACCGCCGTACATTACCAATGATCAAGCCATGCTTCTCAAGTCACGTATTATTACAGATGAACATGAAGAAATGTTTTCGAGATGTTTTCAAGAAAATAAGGCACACACTTATTTTGCTGTACACAGTCCATTTGAAATTCCTTTTAACTTTGAAAATGACTTGAAACTTGAAGGAGGATTTGCAAAACATTTCAAAGTCGTTCCTAAACTTGTGACAACAGATGAAGGCATCAAAAGCTATTCACCTCACCAGAGAGGCTGTTACTATTCCGATGAAAGAGAGTTGTCTATGTTCAAATTCTACACAGAAGGAAACTGTGAGACAGAATGTATTGCTAACTGTTCTCTAACTAAGTGTGGATGTGTTCCTTATTACCTGCCTCGTCACAATATTTCCATAAAGATTTGCCTTCGAAAATGTTCTGTAAATAAGGAAATGTGTGACTGTGGATGCTTACCGGACTGTATATCATTGTCTTATGAACTTAAAGAGTCATATAAAAGTGCCTCATATCTGACACCTAAGATGTCCGGGAAAAAAAGTGTTGGGAGAACTTCTGGATCAATAGAATTACGTTACAAAGAAAAAGGATGCTACACTACTGTGAGGGTTGGTGTAAGCATAACCAACATGAGTCAGTTCTTGGCTTATTGTATCAGCATTTTTGGGATGCTTAATGGCTTCAATGTTATGGTTGTATTTGAGTTTTTGTACTTAATAACCTTCAAGCTATGGAGCTCTGTAAAAATGTATTTGCATAAATAGATTTTCAAGCAAGATGTTTGTGGATTCAAAAGGTAATAACTCTATTTCTTGTTGAACAATTAATCATGTGTTACATTTTTTTTTTTTAAGTTTACAATAAAATTTAAATATTTCCTCCAGAAACCAATAAACTGTTTGATAAGTAGGTAGCATGTTTAAATCCAAAACACAAGTTAAAAACAAAAATTGAAAATATATTCTTTATCAACTCTGGAGAAACGAGATGCACTTTTTAAAATGTGTTTAAGAGTTGGTAATAAAAAACTGGAAAAACAAATTTTTGTAAAGCTGCATCTTCTATAACAAGCAATGGAATCCACTTATGTATGTTTTGTACGACCATTTTGCCAATGCATTTAGCTATTAGTCGTGACAATTTTTTTATAATTGTTAACTAAATTTTAATGAACACATTAACACATTACACATGAAGCACAAGAACACATGATGTATCGTTCAGAAGCTAAAGATTTATTATAATTTACAACATAATCAATGTATAAACGTGTGAAAATGTATTCTTTAACTATAAATAAATAACTTGTCTTAACAATAATAAGTTTTTCTTTGATACCCATATAAGTTTTTCAGAACAATTGTATACAGTACTGGACGACAGAATATTTAACTCTTTTAAAAACTTTTTAAAGGTAATTTTAAAAGTACTGCTGGATGCAATGATTTTTAGAATCTTGGGTAGCCTCCTGTAATATGTGGGTCCAAAGTAAGATAAACGTTTCTCATTATGTTGACGAAGCCTATTGTAACTGTGTGATCTAACAGCAAATAAATTCTTGATTCTTGATTCTATCCAACTCCAAGGTGATCTTTTAAAAAGTGAAGCCTCCCATTGACACGCCTGATAGACTCAAAGCCTCTTGCAAAGGTAGTTGGGCTCACAAAAGATTCACTACTCTATGAGTCAAGTAGCAAGTCAAAAACCAGCACATGACTTCCATAGGAAGAGGCCAGCTGCTTTACATAATACTATTTTTCAAGGCAGAATACTAATTGAATTTCTGAATTTTGAATCTGTTGTATCTAGTAAATTTGTCTTCCATATAGTGATACTCTTATTGCCATATGATACAGGTTATAAGTACTAAAATACTAAAAGTATCAGCATAGACTAACCAACACAAGTAGACTTATCCCATTGTAAATTTTGAAGCTCGTTTTTCAAGTATAGTTCATCAGTTCATGTAAATGTAGTTTATGACTGTTGTTTTATTTTCTAGTACCGGGAGACCGAGTTTTTCTCAGATTCAATAAAACATTATTAAATAAGTTAATTATTAAATCTAAACTTATGTGAACCTTCAGGATATCATGATTGACACAGTCAAACACCTTAGATAAGTCACAAAACACCCCCATTGTGCTATGCGACTCATCCGAGGCCCATGACACCTCCTCAACAAAGTATGAGAGCGCTCTCATGGTGCTTCGACCCTTTCTAAACCCAAACTGTTTGTTAGACAAAATATTGTGGGTTTCCATGAAAGAAGATATTTGGTAAGAAGCACATTTTTCAAAAACTTTGGAGAATGTCGGTAAAAGTGAGACTAGACGATAATTGTCTGGATTTTGTTTCTCTCCATTTTTGAAAAGAGGTTTTAGTTCAGCATATTTTAAGTGTTCAGGAAAACTACTATTGAGGAATGATTGGTTTATAATGATAGAGAGTGGTTCTGCAATGAATTTAGAAGTATTTTTTGACCAAATTTAGTGGTATTTCATCCCAGCCTGATGATTTCTTATTTTTGAAAGATTTAATAATTTTAATAACATCCTCACTAATAATAATAATAATAATAATACTAACAAAACTACATACATTATTATAATCAGGAGTCTTTTTACTAGAAAATCATGTTATTCCTATGAATATTTGAAAAGAAATAGTTCTGAAACCACTATGTGTCAGATACTATTGTGGTTTATTAACTATTTAAATGAAACGTTGATTTACAGCAACTTGCGGACAGTTTAAATGAGTTTGGAGAGACGTGGAGAGAGAACCCGGGTGACGGAGCTTTCTACGGCCCCAAGATTGACATTACAATCATGGACGCTTTGAGACGCAACCATCAGTGCGCTACGATCCAGCTGGACTTCCAGCTACCCATCAGGTTCAACCTGTCGTACATCAAGTAGGTATTTCAATTCTTGTTTGATTTTATTTGCCTATTTTACAACGATTGGTTGAGTCAGTAAAGATGAAGTAGTAGTACGTTACGTTACTGGACCGGAAAATATGTGTTTACCAGAAGACTATTAGTTTTGTGTGGGATTACCGTACGAGTACAGTAAACACATTTTGGATAAGTGGCGTACGATACTTTTTGCCATACTACTCTAAACTTGCCTATAATTAACAAAAACTGTACAAATATTTCCGTACAAATCAACTGTATATTATATATTTCCACCAACTACAGGACTTAACAATCACTACTCATTACTTTCCCCAAGAGATTATTTTTTTGTTTGCCAATATTCTTCCTTTTTACAATGAAGGTAATGTAATGAGATTCCACTGTCTACTGGTGCTCATCCTCCAACATCAGTGAGACGTAGTACAGTTTGGTAATTTTGTTACAGTGATGATGGAGAGAAGACGAGGCCGGTCATCATACACAGGGCCATTCTTGGTTCTGTGGAGCGTATGATCGCTATTCTGACAGAGTCGTACGCTGGCAAGTGGCCGTTCTGGCTGTCCCCTCGACAGGTCATGGTCATCCCGGTCGGACCTCCGTTCCAAGACTACGCTGAAAAGGTAAGAATTAATTACCACTCTTGTATGACATTTGTAATGTAGGCCTATTAGGTTATCTGTACTGTAGATGTACCAAAACACACCATTACTTCTTTTTAGGCCTCTGTGTTAACATCAGAAATCATCTGATCATTTAGATATGGCCTGATCCATATAAAGCCTTTGGTGGGGTGATTTTCAACCTCAAAGGAATAGCTTTCTACTCCTTATGCACTGGTACTATTTATATACTATTTAACGGTACCTAATATTGACGACAGATTTTTAACATTTATATATTATTTAACTTTTTTTGCTTCTTTCTTTTATATAATTATGTCAAATTTTCAATAAATTAAAATTCAAAAAAGAAAAATCTTGTGTCCTCTTTTTTACCAATGTAAAAGCAGCAAAACAGATGTTGTGTTCGATCCTTAGTATACAGAACACAATCTAATAGCGTGATTATTGTGTAGGTCAAGAACTTGCTGTACGAGGCTGGTTTCATCTGTGAACTAGACATCGACTCTGGCGACACCATGAACAAGAAGATCAGAAACGCTCAACTCGCTCAATACAACTTCATCCTTGGTAAGTAGAAACGTAAAATTTCTAACAGTTTTAAGTTCGCCTACTTATATTTATTTTTTTCTCGAATAAATATTTTAAATTTGTATGAAATCCGTAAGAGGCCACATTGTGCATTTATTTGTAAATTGTCAACTTCATCTTGACTGAAGCCTTTTTATAACCTTAACCTATGAACTCCTACATGAAAAAATAGAATTCCTCACTTCCGCAGTCTAAATTCTTGTCAATAAAATTATTTTAGACGTTTTTACTTCTAACATATTAAAGAATATACCACACTATTTGACTAAGCTGTGCTTGCAATAAATCAGAGATCTTATAAAATGAAGGGATCAACACCCCTTTTCACAAGTAAGGGGTGGGAGTACCTAGTTATGATATTTTATGGGAGGTATCATAAAAGTTTCAATCACTTTTTAAACATAATTTTTCTAGCATTGGGGGTTTTATTAACATTTTGTTGGGCCAGTTGAAAGAGCCATAACATACCAAATGTAAAAAATCTTATTTCAGCAAATTTTCTCTAAATCCAATTGTACAGTAGACCCTATCTAATCCGGCATCTTTTGATGGGTGAGGACATCATCATCCACTCCCGCAGTCACGGAATCGTCATCGTCGTCATGCCAGATTGCGGCAAAATCATGAACATCTCCCGCAATCATGTAGACATTACCGTTATCTTCCGTGGTCGCGGCAAAAATTTTACCATCACCCACGACCGTGTAAACATCATTGTCTACTCCCGCGGTCACGGAAACGTCATCGTCGTCATGCACGATTGCGGCAAATCATGAACATCTCCTGCGGTCATATAGACGTTAAAGTGTTTTTATTGATCAAATTCCAGTAATTCGGCATTTTCACTAATGTGGCAGTATCAAGGGCCTATGTCTGCCGGATTACTGAAAGACTACTGTACTGTTATTTCATGGGAAAATCACTATTAAACTAAAATAGTCAGAAATAAACATCTCCGGAAAAATCCTTTAACATCAAAAACTTGCCATCACGAACAATGAACTTTAAATAAAATATGTTGAAACAACTTTTATCATTGCATGAGCACGGGGGTGTTATTAAAACTGTTCTGGTTGAATATACTGTACAATTCAAATTGTGCAACAAAATATCACGTTCTAACCTTTTTCAGTTGTTGGTGAGAGGGAAAAGACAGCTGAGACAGTGAACGTCCGGACCAGAGATAACGTCATCCATGGAGAACTCAACCTTCCGGATCTTATCTCCAAGTTCAAGCGCCTCTCTGAAGAAAAGTGCAGCGAAGACAAGTTCTAAGTCGTACAGGAACCACTGGTCTATACACATTTCTAGTGTCTCTCAAACCTAAAGTTCTGACAGTGTAGGTTTGAAATCGTTTAGGTTTTGTTTAATTTATATCAAATTCTGCAAGATATTCGGTCTTCTCGCTTTCAATTGTGCATTTGAAAAAATGACAGCTTCAATGCCGATATAAAACAATGAAAGGCTTCATCACTAAGTATTACTCATGCTATGCTGTTAAACAGTGCAGATTAGGACTAAGAATGGTCCATTGAATGTAGTTAATCATAAGTGGTGAAGACTTAGTAACATTTAAACTGTTGCAATAATTGTTATATATTTGTCCTCAGCACTGAAACTATCTATCTAATATTAGTCTTTTGTTCACAGTATGAAAATCAATTTCTAGTTATGAGTGCATAGCCAGTAAGTTCTTACCTTATTTTACTTATTTATTTTATTTTTAAGTCGAATCACTATGGAATTTACAAATTTACCTACTAATCTTTTTTACTTTTCCTAAAGTATTTCTTTCAGAATTTGGGACGTGTGTTTCTGTTGCGATCACAATTTAAATTTTTTTCTATGTTAAAGGAGAAAATTAATTTTTTTGAAAAGTTGGAAACCTTTTGAGAATACTTGAACATACATGAGTGTTCAACTGCTGAAACTATTTAATTCTATGCAATTTGTTTACATAGGAAGTTTTTTTATTGAGTTTTTATTATATATGAAATGGAAGCCATATCTATTTAAAAACTGTAGTAGATGTGACTCATCAGTCAGAAATTGCTTTAGAATAAGGTCTAAAGGTATTGATTTTTATAGTAATCTGTGGTCATTTTGTAATTGGTTCAAATAAAGCAATTTTATGTCTTATTTCAAACACGTATGCATTGTACCCTCCTCATCCGAAAGTGTTGCTATAATGTATGCTCAATAGAATCAATACAATTATCGAATTCCTGTCAGACTTCTCGAGCAATTTTCGGGCTCCATCTTGGACTAAACGCAAGTGAGCCACTTGATTAGATTTCTACTACGCTGAAACATTGCGTATTTTAAGATAAGGACGAGTGTTGAATGAATGAGTGAGAAAATAGCTTTGCTACTGACTACGATGGTTCTTTAGCCATGATCATTTATTAGAAATCCAATAAACAAGAACAGTAGGGGTACGGTTTCAAACCATCTAATAGATCCTGAAGTCCATGTCCCACCAAGCTCGCTACCGCGGCGGGAGCGAACTTTGAAAAATCGCTCACCATGTTATCAAATGGGCCTATGTTGGTGTATGTTGTTTTGTATTTTCGCTTCACTACTATGTAATCAATTGTTCCCGTGATATGTTAATAGTCAGCAAAAATTCATAAATTTTTACCATATGAAATAGTATATTTCATAACAAGAGAAATTGAGTCATTACATATTTGAGACCATGTTTGAAGTGTGAGATTTATTAATCACTTTAAATATGGTCGAGAATACGTTTAGACCCACTTTCACTCAAGTTTTGTTTTGAACGTTACTTTTTGCTGCACTACAAAGGGAATGTTGCTGGAAGTCAACAGTCCCGGAAGATCAAATAATTTATACCTGTGCCGCTAGGTCAAAAACTACAATGTTTGCAGTGTCTGTAGATCAAAAGTACCAGTAAGTCAAATAATACAGTCCGAGCTAAAAACGTGGTCTATGTTAAAGCAATTGACTTATTGGGAATTTGACCTAATGCAACAGCAGTTTTAATATAACGAAATACGGTAAAATACAAGTTCAGTTTCGCTGAGTCAACAGTGTCGGAAGATCAAAAGCAATAAAAGTGAACGTCGATTCAGTGTAAAGTAGACCTCCTGCAACGCTTACTACACCAACAAAACTCGCTTTTAGTTACTTCGTGTTTTGTCATAATTAGAATAGAGCTAAAATTATTATATTTGGTACATAGCTTATCTATTAATGCTTCTTGCCAACTGTTTGGTCAACACTGTAAATAGGTATAGCCTTTCGCCAAAATTTGTGGCATAAAATACCCGCAAGGACGATCTGAAAATTTTTGGTTATTATATACGTTTGTAAAAGGAGATCCATTTAATTGTAGAACTATTTTATGAGTTATAATGTAGTCTACATATAAACTGTGTAAATGTATTACGCCTCGGAAGGGTTGAAACCTGTCCAAACTATCATATATATTATTAAAACGTAAATGGGGGTTTTTCACGATTCTGAATCAATCAGTCGACGGATTTTCATTATTTTTGTGTTGAAAGAAAGATAATTTTGAGAACTAGGGAATGTCAAAGCCATAATTTTAAATTAGGGTCCCAGTTTTTTTTTAAATTAAGTTTTAGTTTTAAAAAAGTCTAGCAGCCGATGCTAACCTTCTCCAATAAGTCAATGCTTCTAGCTAGCTTTTAGTACAATATAATTTGCTTAACATAACAGCTGTTACATTCAGCATTTGTGACACAAATTCAGTATTTGGAAAAAAATTCAAATACATACTTATGGTTGACTTATTTATACTATGTGTAATGCTGACCATTGATATATTCAATTCTTCGGTACGAGGATGGCAGATTAATTAAATATGCATAGTAAAATACAGTAGTAGGATGTTCAAATTATTTTTTAAAGCATTCTTTGTAATCATCGATTTGTTTTAGTCCAATATAATTTGTTTTAACTAAAAGCTGGTTGAATGTACTATGTATACTTATAAAAGGCAAAGCCCTCACTGACTCACTGACACACTCACTCTCACTCACTCATCATCACTAATTCTCCCACTATTTACCTAGGAGGCTGAAATTCGATACACCGATTCTTTGGGCATTAAATAGGAAAACTAAGTAGTTTTTATTATGATCGGGCATTCGGGCTCCGCCCCAGTGGCTCTGGAGTTTCCCATCTTAACCTTATGATTTTTCATATTTAAAATGAATTAATGAATCTTAACAGCTGTGTCAATTAAACAATTTATGACAACAGCTAATTTGCAACCAAAAGGTGAGTGAGCGTAGCGAACGACCTTCAACCTAAAGGTGAGTGAGCGTAGCGAACGAACTTCAACCAGGACGTGATTGAGCCATGCGAACGAGCTCATCTTGAAAATTAATAAGTTAAACGGGGCAAAGCCCGCGGGTACAGCTAGTTATTCTATAGAACTATTAGGTTTTTAGCGGATTTCTCATATAGGGAATAAGCTATTACCGTCGTACTCATGGTAACACCTGGACCCGGGACCGATTTAATTTTTCGTTTTGAGGTCCCTAGAGGCCAAAAACACGATCCGTTTAAATTCATATACAGGGTGTCCGGTCATAAGTGTTAAATAAAATTTTGGATTAAACTACATGGTGATGGTGACAGAATGTCGCAAATTTGAGGTTCCCAACTTCAACAGTTAGAGAATAACAAATAAATTAAGATTTTTCAAAAATTATTGTAGTTGTTATGAAAAAGGTTATATTACTCTGTTAAAAATGCACTTACTGTCAGTTTCAATGTCATTTTCAGAATCCTCACAAAATTTTAAATAAATATAACACATAATCGTTGGGGTACGTAAAAATATTCTATTTAAAATTCTTCGTTAAACAAATTATTTTTATATCGACGAAAATGTAAATAACATACAGCAATTTATTTCTCGGTTGTTGAGTTCCGGAGAGGTTATCAAATATGTCTAAAAACTTCCTTATTTAAAGGGCTTTACAATGATGTATAACAACATTTACCTACTGTCAAATCCATGGTGAATTTTACGTACTATTGTGAAAAATCACGGTCAAGCCAAAACAGATATTGTAAAAAATAATAAAATTTTACTTACTATTTTATGAGCTGACCACTGATGATGAGGGTATGTATAATTTATGATTGACCAGACTACACTTCCATCAAACTAAAGAGTTTTTTTTTAAGACTTTGGAAAATTTGTAATTAAAAAACACAACACATTAGTAAAAAACATAATACACACTACAATTTAAATATGAAATGATAGTTAACCCATTAAACAAATCAATGACACACTTTGTCCGAAGCACAAATCACAGTTTGGGTGTAAAGTGCCCACCGTTTTCCCGCAAGCAGGCCCTAGCTCTTTTGCGGATTGCGCCAACTGTGACCTCATACGTCAATTTTCCCCTTACTTTCCCAGCAGCCTCAAAGATTCTCTCCCGTAACTCAACTTCAGAGTTTACAACAGTTGAGTAAACTAGACTTTTCATGTAACCCCAAACAAAAAAATCTAACGGGCTCAAGTCTGGAGATCGAGGAGGCCATGTCACACTTCCTCCACGTCCAATCCATGTCGGGTAGTTTTGGGATAGCCACAACCGAACGCTTTCAGTAAAATGTGGTGGAGCACCATCCTGCTGAAATATGATTTCAGCTCTTTGTTGAGGATCAATTTCATCCAACAACTGAGGTAGAGAGTGCTGAAGAAAATCTAGATATAAATCACCGTTCAGATTTCCTTCGAAGATATGAGGACCAATCAACCGATCTCCAATCACACCTGCCCACACGTTGATCCCAAACCTTTTTTGAAAAGAAGCTTCTCTGGAGGCTTTTGGATTTTCATTATTCCAAAGATGCATATTGTGAATATTTATCACACCTTCTCTGGTAAAACGGGATTCGTCAGTCCATAGTATTTTTTTAAGGAATTGATATTCAACAATATCACGTTGAAGAAGCCAGCGGCAGAACTCCTTTCTGGATTCGAAGTCACGAGGCTCCAATCCTTGGACCTTTGTAAAATGATACGGATGGAAGTTATTGTCCTTCAACACTTTATGTACTTTCCACCGGGACATACTAGTTTCAAGGGCAAGCTGCCTAACACTAGTAGTAGGATTATCCATAACTCTCTGAATTACACCCTCTTCAGCTGCAACATCATGCACAGGTCCTACTTCTTTCTTCTTCTTCTCAACCGATCCTGTTTCCAGCAAACGTTGATGCACTCTAGTAAACACCTGAGTACTGGGGGTGGTGCGATCAGGATACCGATTCTGGTACTCTCTCTGAGCAGCCGACGCATTACCGTTACACAAACCATAAATAAAATGCATTTCAACATACTCCCGAATCGGAAAAGACATAGTTGACCGATCACTGTCCACATGTGACTGATAGATCGTTTTAAAATATGACTACTGGTTCGCTTTGTTTTCTTATCGCTTGGATAAAGTATTGTTATCAGTAAAATACCTGAATCTATTGACTAAATCCATTCAACAAAATAGAAATTCCGGGAGATAATTTAAATCTTATATGAAAATTATACGATAACCGTAACTTTATCACAAACACATTTTACTACTATGTTTCTTTTCTTAGCTTGGTAGTTATAAACAAAGCGTTGCATGCGAGAAAGAAATACAAATTATTTGTTGCCTACACTTAAATGTATTATTCTTCATAATAGATTTTCTTTGCCCTACCATGTTTTTTTCACAATAATGATCGAATTACATTAGGAAATTTGAAATTCGGTAAAAACTATTATACACCATTGTAAAGCCCTTTAAATAAGGAAGTTTTTAGTCATATTTGATAACCTCGCCGGAACTCAACAACCGAGAAATAAATTGCTGTATGTTATTTACATTTTCGTCGATATAAAAATAATTTGTTTAACGAAGAATTTTAAATAGAATATTTTTACGTACCCCAACGATTATGTGTTATATTTATTTAAAATTTTGTGAGGATTCTGAAAATGTCATTGAAGTTGACGGTAAGTGCATTTTAAACAGAGTAAAATAACCTTTTTCATAACAACTACAATAATTTTTGAAAAATCATAATTTATTTGTTATTCTCTAACTGTTGAAGTTGGGAACCTCAAATTTGCGACATTCTGT